GGGAGGCAGGAGGGCAGTAATGTATACTGTGCATCAGGGTCAGGGCGAGGGGCAGTATATGTATACTGTGCATCAGGGTCAGGGCAAGGGGGTGGCAGTATATGTATACTGTGCATCAGGGTCAGGGCAAGGGGGGAGGCAGGAGGGCAGTAATATATACTGTGCAAATGTTTCATTGTCAGGGCAGGGGGGGCAGTATATGTATACTGTGCATCAGGGTCAGGGGCAAGGAGGGAGGCAGGAGGGCAGTAATGTATACTGTGCATCAGGGTCAGGGCGGGGGGCAGTATATGTATACTGTGCATCAGGGTCAGGGCAAGGGGGGTGGCAGTATATGTATACTGTGCATCAGGGTCAGGGCGGGGGGCAGTATATGTATACTGTGCATCAGGGTCAGGGCAAGGAGGGAGGCAGGAGGGCAGTAATGTATACTGTGCATCAGGGTCAGGGCGGGGGGCAGTATATGTATACTGTGCATCAGGGTCAGGGCGGGGGCCAGTATATGTATACTGTGCATCAGGGTCAGAGCAAGGTGGGAGGCAGGAAGGCAGTAATGTATACTTTCCAGCAGGGTCAGGGGTAAGGGGAGAAGGAGTTGTAATGTGCACTGTGCATCAGGGTCAGGGCAAGGGGGGGAGCAGGAGGGGCAATAATGTACTCTGTGTATCAAGGTCAAGTGAATGGGGGGGCAGTGGTGTATACCGTGCAGCATTACCATGCAAGAACAAGGGTGTAATGTGCAGGAATTGCTTCCCCATGATACAATCACAGACTATATACAGGAAGTGTTAATTATAACCTTAGCACATGATTATTTTTCACGAAGCTGATCAATACACAGAAATCTGATTTTAATGACCAAGGCTTGAGTTCAGCTTTTTTTATGCTTTGATATGGCTGCGGCAAGCCCATACTGCTGCTTTATAAATGGACTCAAGGAACAAAAGGTGTGCTGCAGTGCAAGGAGCATGTTAATAGGAGGAGAGAGCAGAGTGACAGAGACATGAGCTTATCAGCCTGCTGCTTCTCCTTTCACTGTCCAATCGCAGACTTCAGTCAAAAGCATTGTGGTGTTACCTGTTCTCCCAATCCAGGCCAGCCCCAGAGTGCCGCTGTAGTCGCGGTTTGTCAGCAGGTAGGAGAGGCAGACGTGGTTCCAGTTGGAACTGGAATGCAGCATCAGCAGCTTTTCTATCCCGATATATGGAGAATTCAGGGGGCTGTCCGGCTGCTCCTCCTGCATTATCTGTTGGATTTCACAGGAATGACAAAGGTTTTATTGCCAGAAAATTAAAATAACTACTAAGTTGCCCGATCTACACTGAGGGGCCGATTTATAAACCATCCGCCCCGACATACACTGGCCAACTACCGTTCACACAGCATTCTCTCCACTAGATGGAGCCGAGGAGCTTGACTGCATAAAGTGGTGAGAATGCCATGTGAACGGTATTTGGCCAGTGTATGTCGGGGCGGATGATTTATAAATCAACCCCCGGACTGTCCTGTTTAATCTGCCAATCTGGCCGGCAATTTTCCTTTTTTTATTTATAGATTGGCGATATTCCATATATTTTATTTATTATGATCGGCACTAAAAATAGTTTTGTTTAAATGTTCCTTTTTCTTGTAGTCAGGTAAATATAAAATATTGCACATGAATCTCATGTTTCCCCTGTCCAGCCAGTAGATGGAGCTCTTGGTTCATTTCCACACCTTTCCCTCCTTACCTCCTGTTGGAGGAATCCTGTTGTTTATAGAGCTCAGTAGCTCAGGCTGAAGATTACATACACATGAGTGAGTCAGACCAGTGTCAGCGCTAGGATTCTTGCCTACACAAGCAATGTGCATTTTTACGCCCCCCCCTT